TTCAGTACAAATATGTTAATTTAAGTTTATTAAATTTTTATAAAAATAATAACAAATAAACGAGAATTTATTTTACCCAAATTCCAATACTTTAGCACCAGTTTGCAACTTTTCATGAACCGGAGCTCCGATATTGCCATTAAACGCATATTCATAAGCTTGGTGCGTGTAAAATTGAATGTTTTCGATTTCACTTAGATCCTTGATTAGAGAATGACTTTCGTTTTTTTCATCTCTTTCAACTTGTGAAGAATAACTCATCGTTAAAATTTTTAATTCTTTTTTATTTAATAAACATGAAAATAAACAACAGCTAGCATCTTTTTATATAATTAAACTCAATGTAATTACAATCATGTGTGACCTACACTTGTTGTATGGATGATTTACGGCAGACGACATGGTGAATGGTGTCATGTGCCTTTTTGGTTGCCGATATTATTATAGATCGCGTATTCGGTGTTGTCAAAATATGGACATGGACAATATGGACCATTGGAAATGGATATTTATGGACTATGTTCATATTGTCCATATTTTTCTATTGGACAGGCACTTAGTCCAAATCAGCTTGTTACTCCAGACAGAATAGGTCAAAATTAGTGTAAGTGTCCGAGAAATTCCGAAAAATTCGGCAAAGATATGGACATGGACACTATTTGGCCCATATTTGTCCAAGTCCAATAAAATCAAGACTGATAGTATTATAGACTGCCTATATTATATTATTTAATTAAAGGGCACTCACAAATAACATTATCACGATGAAGTGATATTAAGAAGTGCCCTTTTAGAAATCCTGATAAAAACCTCTTATTTAAAATAATCTCCGAGTTTATAATAAAAAAAAGTTCACTAAAATCTTCATGCTGTCTTTATCCACAAATAAAAAAATTTCAAACTCATTAAATAATTATTTTTATATCATTCTTAAGTTTACAAAAAAGAACTTAGTTTATCTGTTAAAACTCTTTGTTATTTAAATAACTTTCAGATACCTATTTTTATTTTCGTAAGGAAAAATTTATGAAAAAAATTACAGCCTTATAATGATCAACTGGTAGTGTAGTTTCTTGCTTACTGAAATAGTGAAATAAAAGAGCAGAAAAATGGTAGAATCACGTATACAGGGTGAATTAATGAATATCAGGTGCATACCGGAGGAAAAGTTTCCCAATATGTACCCGTTAGTCTGCCATAGATCCACCAAATACCTGCTGAATATCAGCAGCATATTGGCAGCACATTTGTAAGACATCGGGAGGTAAATCGATATCAGTAACATAATAGTACAATATTGGGATATCCTGATATCTTACTCTTAGCACTCTGGGCCC